CAGCTCCTCATCCACCCCATACAGTGCAGACCGCAGGTCCAATACAGGCGAGCGTGCAGCACGATTGTGCTCACAGCCCTACAGTCTGACTTTCTTAGACTAATACATGCTTTTTCAGCAAGTTAGGGAAGAAAAAGAGTCTTGATTCATTCTGTAACATCATATTTTATTAAATAGACACCTTTAGGAACAAGGGATAGAACATATTCAATGCTACCATAACTATACACGATATCTGGTCCAGATAATTATAGCACACTTTTGCATTTTAATATATATTTATATACTTTTGTTTTTTAGAAGATCTCTTTTCACTATTATTAACATGAAACAGGAAGCAATGTTAGAAAAATACATTATGAAAAAGGTCTAGCAGACAAACAAAAACAAACATGTTCTTCTTTCCCATTGAATGACAGTGAACTGAAGACCCCTTGAGCAACCCCCCCAAAGCCCAGAAAAGGGCTGATGTGTAGACACCAAATCGTAATGAAATGTAATGAAACAGTGCACTGTGCAGCATGAGGATTCAGGATGAAATGCATTTCTTTCATACAAATGTTACTTCTTAGCCTTAAAAAAAAAAGTTTACAAAAACCCCCCCAAAAAACTTAAAGAAGTTTAAGATATGAACCACATGGTATCTTCTATTCAGATATCCCCTTCAAAAGAACTGAAAGGGAGTGTTTAATAGTTCGCTCATTTGCATACAGCACAAAAGATGTCTGGATTGTGTGAAAGGACAAAGGCGTGCCTGCAAGCACACTGGCACTGCTCTGCTCCTCCTCCTGGGGGGCGCAGGGGCACGGGGGACTGGAAGGCACAGAGGACTGTCCACGTGTGCACGTGCCACCACGTCGCACGACGGCCCTTCTCACCACTGCTCTCAGGCCAGTCAGGGTTCCCATGAACTGTACAGTTAATGTCCCTGCATAAATTACAACAGCTACAAAATCAAATAAATACATATAAATAGAAACAATCAAGAGAACATGAGAGAGAACTTTGTTTTTCAATGGCTGGATTTAGCTGGTGGGCATCACTGCTCGTCTCCAACCAGGCGGGAGCTCTGGGCCTGCCTGGCCCTGGAGAGACTGGGGCTCTC